CGCTTCAAAGGTTTATAAACATATATATATCTTTTTTTAATTTTTTGTTGATTTAAAAACGATATCAATTTTAAAAAGATACCATATATAAACTATCGAAATAAAAAATATTATCTAAATGTTTAAATTAAAAAAAAAATTTTTTTAATTTCGTACTTTTTTTTGGATATTTAAAGATTTATTTTACCTAAACTAAAATATGGCTGAGGCCTGATATGGGGTTAGGGTAAGATTATATAATATGATGGAATATTTTTAAAATTTATTATTAAAATTGGGAAGGATATTCTATTCACTTATATTTCTATTAGCACATTTGCAAACATGTAGGTTTTGTTGGATATTTATGTCTTATTATTAACTAAACTAGTACTATCACAAACTTCAATTTAGCCAAAAAATATTATACCTAAGCTCCGAGATTTTGCCGAAAAAATAGAAGAAAGATTTGGCCTTCATTTGGTAAAATCTCGAGACTTAGAATTTATATTGGGCGAAAATCTTGATTTAGCCGTTTTTAATTTGCCAAATCTATATTTTTAAAGACAAAACTAATTTAAAATCATTTTTTTTTAAAAAAAGTCCTCGCAAATTTTACGACCATAACGCCTTGAAACAGCCCTTACAATTAAACTTTTACAGTCTGCCATCTTGTTACGATAATCTTTTGAAAAATTTCTTCTATAACGAAAGTTAGTATTTATTTATTCCTAAATTTTTTTTTATTATATAAGATAATATGATTAGGTTAATGATAAAACCAATTAACCAATCCTATTCAATGAGAATATAATTTTAAAAGGACACTATTTTATTTTGTTCGGCAATTTACATTAGAGATCGGCAAAGCATGGCCGGGCCTTTTTCTTAAAAAAAATCGGTTCGGGCTCGATCGGGCCTAAACTTACAAAGATACGAGATCGAATATTTAAATCATTCATATTTTCGAATCGAATAGTTGAATAATAGAAACATTATTCGGTTTGATTCGTCGAATATGATTCGAAAAATAAATTTTTTGAAAATATTTAAAAAAATCAGAGTATGAAAAAATTTTCAAAATTTTTTTTAAATAAATCTAGGAATTTTTTTTTTCAAAAAAATGTAATTTTACCTTGCAGGTATAAAAGATTTTTACTAAATATACTTGGAATTTTAATAGATTATTAAATTTTAAAAGTGATTTATAGGAAAAAAAGTAAAAAATAAAAAAAAGTTTCATAAAGAAGCATGTTAAATTTACGAAAAATTTAATAATACTAAAAATTTCAAATAATTCGATCGAATAATAGATAAAATATTCTTCGATGAATAATATAATACGAATTGAATAAAATTAAATATCGAATAATACTTTTTAGGTATAAACCGGGTCTAATATTTTTTGATAGAATTCGGGCCGGGCTTAAATTTTTAATATTATCATTAATTTTGTTAATGTATTTCATTTTGCAAGAAATAAGGAACCCAATATTTTTTATTTGTATAATATTTATTTTTCAATTAAAATATTAAACTTTTCTATATTTAAATAAATTCGGGCCGAGCGGACAAATATCTTATTTCGGGTAGGACTTTTCTGAACAATTAAGCTAAAAAAAATATCGGGATCGGTACAGGGACTTGAAAAATTAGGCCGATGTAAATCACTAATTTATATTATATCCAAAATTGTCCTTTTTAAAAAATTATGCTTCATTATTTTAATAAAAGATCAATATTCATTATCTATACATACGTAAAAACTAAGAATTCATTTATAAATTTTTTATTTGATTCTACCTCAAAATATTCTTGAGTTTGAAATTTTTTAAAATATTTATTTAAAGAAATTATTTATCTTCAACCTATATAAAACCTTATAATTATTACTATAGTATAATACTTATTTTATTTATTTTTTAAATATTTTACCCCCATAAGTATGTATATTTTATTTTGGTATAAATGAACACGAAGTGCCTCTATATAAATGCATCGACTACGCGTTATCTATTCAGTGCATTATGCCCCAATTAGGTCTGAGAAGCTCACAAACCACAAAATTTAATATTACTACCCCAGAAAATAAGGTCAATTCTGAAAATTCTACATTCGAATGTTATAGTCATGCCAATACAAATTCCAAGCCTCAACTCGTTCCCTTAGAGATAACTGGTTTATTATTGAAAAAGATCAAGTGAAATTTTTTTAAAAATAATTATTTTAAAAATTAAAAAAAATCATTTAATCATATGTTTGAAACCTTGTCTTAAAGGAGTTTATCAGTTCTCGGAATGAATAGTGGACTCTAACATCTGTTTGGTTCTAAATTTTACGAGGTTTCAAGGGCTTCTGATTCCGCTTCCAAACTTTGTTAAATCGATCAAAGAATTTATTAATTAAACCCAATATTTATATAAATTAAATTACTTGAGCTTTTGTTAGAACCAATTACGGAACTGGTTCCTGGAAATTTTAAAATGGGTTTGATTGGGAAAAGAATATCATCTGATTTTCAAAATGAATGTTTATATGACTGTTTATGTATTAAATATGGTTACTAAATATTCCATTTTAAGAGATAAGCATTTTTTTTATTTGTTATATTTTATATAATATAATATTTTATTTAATATTTATATAATAATTAAACTAAGGAAGAGATTTTTAGTGCCTTCCTCCCCTTTATTATTCTTTTCTGGGTAACAAGGTTTTGCAGGCTTCCTTGTAAAAAAAACCCGATGCGCCTTACATAATTCACGTGCGTTTTTCTTAGGACAGGTCATATACCAGCGTGTTGAATAAGAAATGGGTTAGTTTCATTCTGGTTAAAAAAAAATATTTATAAATTTATTTTATAATTTATGCCTTTCAAGTTACTTTCTAGAATTTAGCACGTTTCACGAGAGAGGGGAAAGAGCTCTTTCCATGGTCGCGCCTTATTTTCCTTCCATTTTAAATTCTCATTCCAATCATTCAACGAAATCTGCACCATCTAAGATATCTAATATATCGGAGTTAATGTCCAAAAACAAAATTATATGCACTAGCAAGCATTTAACATTGATATTTACCAAGGCAAATCGAATAATGGACACATTTTTGATGACTACCAAAATTTTTAATCTGGATAAAACACAAAACCCTGTAAATGAAAAATTATTAGAAATAATCGATCTTGATGGTACAATGGGCAAAGCTCGACAGCTTATTGGCGCTATCTCAAAGCATTTGCCATTGGTGTATTTGGCTTCTCCTCCTAGGCCTTGGCTAGCATTGTTACAAGACTCTACGCTCGAATATCATGTATATGCATTTTAATAATATTTAACAGGGACTTCTACACCCTTTTAAACCAATGACTATTTTATATTCCATTAAAAAATTTGCCCCTACCCCCTGTTACCCCCTCTAAATTTTACCCCCGCCCCCTATTACCAAATCAATATTAGCCGAAAAATGAATCCTAATCAAAATTAGGAAAAAAAGAAAATCTAAATTAAAACTATTCCCCTGCATTTTTATTCAAATGACGACAGCATCTTCCTTACCCCCCCCCTCCCCATCTATTTGCAATGACGATTTTGCATCATACCTCTCACCCTCCCTTCTCCCCATAATTGAAGTCTATGGTATGACACTGCTCACATATTATCATCAAAATCTTTTGATATCTCATTTACACTATTTAGCAAAAGGAGACAGTTTAGGTCACCATATAGAAATTTAATAAACAACCAGCAATTTTTATCAAACCATATTTTGAATATATAACCTATGTAATTAAATCCTAATTATATCGGTATCTAGCCTTATATAAACTTCTTTAACTACTATTATTTTTGTCTAACAAGAATTATTTTTTTATGAATTTAACGAAATTCTAAAATTAAAACCTGCTTTTCATTCGCTTCGTTATTTGTTTTAGTTCGCCGATAATTTGATCGCAAGTGTTCACGAATTTAACCGTAAATACACCGACTTAAACATGCAATTACAAGCGGAAAACATAGCGAGTGATTATGGCGAATTATCCTCTGCAAAGGATTGGAAAAATGTATTAGAGACGTGTCCCATATGTTACAACGGTATTTATTAAGTTATATTTAATTATAGTTATACGTATTTAATATTTTACTGTCCTACATTTTGGATTGCTCTTTGAACAGACACAGTATACTGTGGTAGGTATAAACAAAATGACAATATTTGAGTGATATTTTATAGTTTGTGAGGAAAAAAAGAAGTCTGAAATCATTTTCGCATTATTATTGTAAATAATGTTTCATTTTTTTTTAATTGATTCACAAAAAAAAACACAATAAAGTTAGTGAATTTATCGACTTTGCCAAAATCAAATGCACGAATGGACACATAACAAGTTAACATTCTTTTTTTGCTCATACATTAAATATATTTTTTACTTATATTATAATATTTTGGATATAATAAAAATTGTAGCAAGATGTTCGTATACGTTGGTACCTTGCGGTTCGATTCCAGTGCTTAGTTGTGATACTTGTAACTCAATGGCCGTTTTGGAAATATGTAATTTAATAATGATTTATTATTCTTTTTAAATCACCAAATTTATGTTAAAATATAATAGATAATACTAAAAATCCCTTTCTGGAGCAATTATTAAGGCCTCATAGGGATGACTCTTTGACTCCAGAAATTTTGAAACCTATTATGCCTACATGTTGTTTGTGTGGAGATGAATACAGAATAGTTAGAGCTGACAATCTTGACATATTTATTTAATTTTTTGGTAATTTCATTTTTTATAATAATAATATTCCTTATTATTGTAATAATATGTAAATATTATATATATATGAAATTTTTTTTATATGATAATGATATTATTTGAAAATAAAAGAGATAGATAGAATTATTATAACGTTTAATTTTTTATATATAGAGATATAATTATATAATTTCTATTATAATTTTAGACTACCTTTTTTAAAAAAAATATATACATCAGTCCTCTAATAAGAAGTTTTACGCCATGTATTTTCGATAGAATTTAAATCAAGATTCTAATCTGGCTCATACGTAAGTTTAATATTATTATTTTTTTAAATATATTTCGCAATTATACTAAAGTGTTTATTCTTATATATTTAAGAAAATTTTAGCTTTTCTAAGTAAGTTATACCTTCAGTCGCAGGGGCCTTAATAACTGCAATTAAAGTAGGTGGGCGTGGGCCTAATTTTTTATTCAAAGCCCGCCCGTTCACAGTGGTAATAAAAAGAAATCACGTCCTTTTACGCTTACTACTAAAAAAAATTTGATCCAACACGCCCGCTCACGAAATACAATATTTTAATCACGCCCAAAAATTCGCGTGTTTTTAAATTTTTCAAAGTTTTATTGCTTTACTTTTACGCGTTTTTAAATTTATTCTATTATAGCTTTTATTTCTCTAATTCCATATTAATAACACAAAATAAATATTTTTATAAATCAAAATATTTATTTAGAAAATATCTATATGCGATTGGCTATAGAAAATAACCTTTCACTAGAAGCCGAACTTAGCGATTTCTTCGTTTTTTATCGATACAAGTGTTGATTGTTATCTCATAACATGGCTGGATCATTAACCTATATTTATAATTTTTACCTTCTTCAATATCGATTAAACCTATAATCATTTTAAGAAACGGAAATATAGTTTTATAAAATAAATTATTTATAATTTTTAAAATTTTCAGCGTTTTTTAATTTATTTGTTAATTTTTCTTTGCGTTCTTCCCTTAAAAGTTTAAAAAATTATTTGTTCAAGTTATTGCTTCAACATATTTACTTGGTTACTCAACTGCCCCCTCTCATTTTTCTCTAGTAATTCTCGCTTTATAACCTATCTTTATCAGGAAAAATAGTTCAAGCTGTGGGCCTTAACCCTAATTAACAAAAATGGAACCTTAAGGCTACACGGTAATAGTACTATGTTCCCTTTGTCTCATCAGTCACTTTTCACGAGTGTATTTGACAAAAGCATCCCCTTTTCATAACTCAGCTCTTTCAAGAGAATCAATAATTTATCAGCCAATGTGGCCCTGACATTATGAGGATTGTCTGTCCATTCGTTGCAGAATCACAATTTTTGACTTCTTGATCAATCTGTATTAATATCAGACCACCATAATTAATCTTTGTCTAAAAGTTTAGTTTTCCCAGCTCCTAAATGTCCTTTATGCAATTCACATAACATTGCGTCTCTCACTGAAATATAATTCTATTTTCTATAAAAAGACAATCTTTTATCAACCTTAATTCTGCTTCCATAATTTTGTAAGTTTATTTTTTTATTAATTCACCTTTTCCTATATTATCTATAATTCCTGTAATTCTTTATGATCAGCAGTTTCTTTTACTACCATTTTAAAATTTATCAATATATTCCATAATTCATTATTAATGATTTCGAAAGGTAACTCACTGAAACTCAGGAAAATTTTTAATATTTTAAAAAAAAATTTTATTAAAAAAATATATGCGATCTTCAGGATATTGGTGGAAATTTTTTGATGTAATAATAATTCAAAGTTTCATTACTCAAAAGTTTAATAATTAATGGAAGAGGTAAATTCAATATTGATAATTTTGATTTTTCCAAATTATAACAATTTTAATGAAAATGGATATGATCACTCGGTCAATCATAACAGTATAGACCCAAATGATATATCGACCCATACACAACGCAATGAGCATTTATGGAGGGATCTTAAGGCAATCATCCTCAGAAATGGAAGAAAATCTTCCTCTCATTTATATATATGTGAATATTCCTATTTTCGTAATATTAAAAATATGTCAAAATTAAATAAGTAAATAAAATTTTTAAATGATATAAATTTATATCGATCTATTTTTGTTTTTCCTTAAATTGATATATATCTGTTGTATTCCATATCAAATCAACTGAAGATTCAACCCACCCCCTTCGATTTTTTTTAAAATTTGTATGATGGTAGTATATACACTAACTAGTAAAAATATTAAATTTTAATTCTCAACTTACTATATGGCCATCTTTAGAAACGCGAAAATTCCAAAATATACTATATTTAATTTTAAATATCTCAAAAAGTAATTAAGCTAAAGACATGATTTTGATTTTATTAAATAGCTCTAGAATGGTTCTTTAATATAACATAAAATTTAATTTATTGAAAAAAAGTCTATTACCAAAAACCGGAAATGGCTATAAAATAAAAATTGCTTTTTTTTTCTTTTAAATTTTTTTTTACAGATAGACATTATACTTCTTAATATTTGTACAAAATCCTAGATTGGGACGAGTACTGGGTCAATAGTTATTACACTTTAAATATAAGTAGTATGGCTTAAATCCTATATTATACCAAATATAGAGTAATTATTTTTTTTAAAGTGGGCAATATATGTGAATAATAGCATTAAAACTAAAATCCTAAAAAATCTGATTATTTTGCATTTATTAAATGTTAAAAAACTCAAAACAACATTTACCAAGTTGTATTGTATTATTTTAAATATAACTCAAAACGCCTTGATTTGGAGGCATTATAAGGAATAAATAATAAGATTTTGTAAAAAGTAACAACTATGATAATAAAAAGTGAGCTCAATAATCTCTTCACCCCAACCTAAAGATTATATTCGTCCCAAATTCTTCTTAAATTCGAGATTTTTTGACCTGGCCACTCTGTGAGTGAAAGATGAAGTTTATTTTTCATTGTCAGATTAATTATTATTGGATCGTCAGAAATATATTTTCATTTTAAAGATTATTTTAATCTACTTAATAATTAATTAAAATAAAATAATTATGTTTGGCATCATTTATGATTTATTACCGCGAAGGCGATATCATCAAACATTTAAGTTACGTGATTATATCAGATTGTCTCAAACACAATATTTGTTCCTTTCATTTATTTCAAATAAAATTAATTATATTCTTGAAAGAAAGATTTGATAAGATTTCAATAATATTTTATTTTTCTGATGGAGCTGTTACCCAGTATAAAAACAAAAAAAAACTTTGTAAACCTCTACAACCATTATAATGATTTTAGGATCAAGGCAGAATGGCAATTTTTGGCAACTGCACATGGCAAAACTCCTTGCGATAGTTTAGGTGGAATTACTAAGAGGTTGGCGGCTAGAGCAAGCCTGCAACGTCCTCATGAAAATCATATAATAACTCCTATTGACTTAAATAATTATGCGATAATCAATATCCCGGGAATTAATTATATATTTGTTAGCAACGTAGAATATTTAAGAATGGAAATCAATCTTGAAAATAGATTTCTAATGGCCAAATGAATTCCCGGGACACAAAAATATCATTCATTTATTCCAATGAAAGGAAAAATGAAAGTCAAATTTTATTCTAATTCATTAGATTATTTAATGTATGATATTATTTAATTAATATGTTTATTAGAATATTAATTTCCAATTAATTAGCTAAATAAAGTTATAAATACTTTTACAATTATTTTCCTTCTAAAATAAAATAGCTAAACTTATGTGCTAAATATGACACAATGTCTACTAGTGATCTGCATAGGGCCTAATTTTTCTAACACGGCCAGAAAGATTTATAAAAAAATACAGCCCGATCCCAAATGAAATTTCTTTTTATTTGTTTCGTAAATTACTATATATTTGGTATAATATAGGATTTAAGCCATACTAATTATATTTAAAGTGTAATAACTTTTGGCCCAGTACTCCTCCCAATCTAGGATTTTGTACAAATATTAAGAAGTATAATGTCTATCTGTAAAAAAATTTAAAAGAAAAAAAGAGCAATTTTTATTTTATAGCCATTTCCGGTTTTTGGTAATAGACTTTTTTTAAATAAAATAAATTTTATATCATAATAAAGAGCTATTTGATAAAATTTAAATCATGTCTTTAGCTTAATTACTTTTTGACATATTTAAAATTAAATATAGTGTATTTTGGAATTTCCGCCTTTCTAGAGATGGCCATATCTCATAAAGTAAGGCGATTTAAAAAGTAAAAGTTTACATTTTTATTAATTAGTGTATATACTACCAACATGCAAATTTTTAAAAAAATCGAAGGGGGTCAGGTTGAGAATCGACTTTTTTTGGTTGATTTAATATGGAATACAACATCTATATTAACATTGTTTATATATTATGTTTATCAAATAAATTGATTAATTATCTAGTTTTTGATTTAATAGTCCTAACTTAGTATGATCATAGCATTACACCTTTTTTAAATTTTTAAATATACTCTGTTTTTATTATAAAATTAAAGAATAAAAATTTTCACAAAAAAATTTATTAAAATAATTGATTAATTATCTAGTATTTGATTTAATAGTCCTAACATATTAGCATCATTAGCACACGCCTTTTTAAAACTTGTAAATAATATACTCCGTTTTTATTGTAAAATTAAAGAATTGTGAAAATTTTCACAAGAAAAATTTCCACCAATATCCAGACGATCGCATATTTATTATTTTTTCAATAAAAATAAAAAAATTTCCCTAGTTTCAGTGAGTTAGCATTACGTTTTTCTGCTCTGTGAATTATTGTAAAATTGATGTTCAATGGGCCAAATTCCATATTTGAAATCTCATAGACATCGAATTGTTATCTTTAAGACCTTTAATACACGAGCGGTTTGTGATCCGTGACTATAGTAAATTTAATTCTAATAAAATATTCTTGAAATTTTTTTAAATAATCGCTAAAATTTCACGTTCAATATTTGTATGATTTGTTTTTGATTTGAGTAAAATTCTCGATGCAAATGCAATAGATTTCTCTTTGTCAACGCCTTCAATGTGAAATAAAACAGCCCCTAAACTTTTTTTTCAAAGTGTCAGCAGCTATACCAATGGGTAAATCTGGATCGTAAAAATCTAAGCTTTTCTGATGTATGTTTTTCCATGACCATTTTTGTACAATGGATTTGCTATGTCTCCAGAATTATAAATTTTCGATAAAAGCTTGCCATGCCTAAGAATATAGATAATTCCTTTAGGTTTAGGCATATTCGTAATGGCTTT